AGTGAAAGAAGTGGGTTCATGTTCGAAAGTAAACTGAGGAAGCTGTGAGGCATTGGAGAGCGGGAGAGCGCTGTCTTTCCAGGCTAGGTGTTTTTAGCTGCTGGCTAACTTGAAGCAGCGCTCCGGCACAAAACGGTGAATTGATGATACGGTAGATCAAACAAGACACAAAATCACCGCTTTCAGTTTAAACATGCCTAAAAGGAGGACTCTGTTTGGCTGGTGTGAGAGATTCACACTGCAGATAATGCTTTTACACAGCGAACGTCAGATATACTGCGGTTCACCCCTTAAACTACTATGATAGCATAGAGAAATCCAGCCGTCGCTAGCTGGTGTCTGAATACTGTGATATGCTCTGACATGGATGTGGTAAGAGTGACAGCAGTGACCTACCGAACCGAGTTGACGTTGTTGAGAAACTAAAGAGTTTAGCACTGTTGTTGGCCACTTGTTTAGCACTTGTAACGGGGTAGCCAAGTGCTTGTCACCAGACAGCTAAAAATAATCTGTTTTCTTTCTTAAATCATGACTATTGCAAAAATTGCAGCTGTGCTTTTCAAGCTGATAAAAACAGCTCAGAAACTTTCTCCCACTCTTCCATCACAGATTAGTGAAATGTTCCACTGTTTGCCGAGTGTTTGTCATGATCGGACCATAAGTGATAGTTTAAAACCACAATTAACCACCCAGGAGCAAAATCAGCCTTCAAACGTAAAAGAAATCATGATTTGACATTTATCGTGATATGTATCAATATCGAACGATATGAATTTTGTTTATCGTGATAACGTTTTTGGCCATATCGCCCAGCTCTAGCCCCACTTCATATTCATTAAAACATATTTAATATAGTATTTTCTGTGTGCAGCAGTATATTGGATGGTATTGGGGTGGAACGTTGTTCTAGAGCATTGTTTTTACCGGGCAAGCCCATGATGTCATACAGTTTGTCCAGTAGAATTGATCAAGCTACACCTGGCATCATCTTTAGCCTGGTACAGAGCAACTTTGCGTAAAAGCATATGCTGTCATAGTAAATGAGTGGAGCTTAAGATTAGCTTCGTTCATGGAACCAAAATATATGAAAATTAGCCAGGTTTATTGAGTTAGCTTTGTGGAACAAAGCTTGTCCTGATGGGCTGGATGTTGGTGGTCCACATCATTTATTTCTCCTGTTACAAAGCCTAGGGCAACCTCAGAGTAGATTTGTCCGCTGAGCATTAATTTTATTGACAGCTGCCAGAATCTGAGGACTATTTCTCTAATGATCACAAAAAATGTTCCGACTTAAAATCGAAGACCCCACCTTAAGTCTTACTCTGTTGGTGCAGTTGTCTTATATGACACCTCCCAGAATTATCAGACGTGCGTTTTGGGGGTTTTCAGCAGTTTTTGTTGCGTAGTGTCTGAGGCTGGTGTAATTCAGTGTTCAGCCACTAGAGGGTGACAGATGACCTTTTTTGATGTCTAAGTTTTCTAGAGTTCTTCTCTAAGGTGATATACAATTTTCCACTTTTCATGCACCAAACATGACTACTTTTATTAAACAAACACTTGAGCCAGCCCTTAGGTCAACTATATAAAGGAACATTTAATATGATGGGGAGGAGGGAATCCTCACCTATGCTTGTATAAGACATACCTTGTGAACATTTTTTTTTTTCTACTTGTGGGGTTTCTATAAAAGCAGCATCAGTTATCGCTAATTATTATAAATTTAACTGTGTAGTTATTTAACGTTATACAAAATTGACAAACATTTAATAATGTCTTGCATCTGATGTGTCTTGTGTCTGATGTGTTGTCATCAAGCATTTCAAATCCCAGTCTTCCAAACTTTAGGATTTGTTTCCCATATTCGAGTAAAAGAATGTTTAACAAGGAAAGTTCATAATTAGATGTATTCATTATTATAAAATAGCTGTGTAATTTAATAGCTGTCATGATTAGAAATAAAATGTTTTGTGCCTTAACAATGTAAGATTGTGCTATCAGAAGATGGAATTAAGTCCGATTCATTATCTAAGGCTACAGTATGAGTGTATCTAGTATAAGTTAAGTTTATGGAGGTGATGCAGAACGAGAGATATTTTAACATGAGTCTTTCAGGTGAACTCTACTCCACAGCTCACCCGGCAGCTTTTCTGTCAACTGCCAATGCTGATGTCTTCTAGACCGCCACGTTCTCCCTGTACAGCGTGCAATGTGAATTATTGATGACTCTGCCAAATCCACCCTTCATTCTGTACACTCGTCTGTTCCTGCATTCCTCGCTTCATTCTATACACTCATCCGCTCTCTCCCTGTTGCTCTTGCACTCTCGCTTGCTCATTTTTTTTTTTCTCTGTGCCTCTCTCTGTGTCTCTCTCTCTTTTGTTTCCTCTTTTCTTTCTCTCTGTCTCTCTGTCCTTATCTTTCTCTCTGTCTCTCTCTTTCTCTGTCTGTATTTCTCTGTCGCTCTCTCGTAGGATGTGTGTTGATGTTCAGGCACTGATGAGACTTTTCTTTTCAGTAATTAACATGGGGAGAGTGAAATGATTAGCCTGGGAAGTAAAGCCTGATGTTATGGAGAGCAGACATCCGTTCAGATGCATGTGTGTGTGTGTGTGTGTTTTCTTCCCCCCCTCTCATTACAAATGAGGAATTGATAGGAATGATGTTTTGATTATGAATAGCTAAAGACTGTGTGTGTGTGTGTGTGTGTGTGTGTGTGTGTGTGTGTGTGTGTGTGTAGTTTGTGATGTACATAAAATATATAATGTAACATATATAGTCCAAGGTTTCCCAAATCCCAGTTCTGGAGACCTCATGGCTTGTGTTATCCCTACTCTAATAAACCTGACCAAGCACACAAGCAGCTTGTGAATGAGTTAATCAGCTAAGTCAGGTGTGCTAAATGAGACCACACATGAGAATTTGCATAGTATGGGGTCTTTAGGACTGGGATAGACCAAAATTTTACTTTCTATATAGGCAAGATTAAGTGTGTTGGATTGGCTGTGCATATTTAACCTTCAAAGAACTTGTTACAAGGCCAGGGGATTTCACTCTTCGTCCCACTAATCAGTCAAGTTCCCGTGTGTTCCTTGACACAGTACATAGACTTTCAAACGCAGAATTTCTGTGTACCTTTTCCACCCCTGTTTGAAAGTTTGAAAGTACCCCTAGACATCACCAGACTGTGTTTTGGTCTCCCCCCCCCATTGTGATGTTCTCACAGGCCTTTACTGCAGCTGTCTTCAGTTCCTGCTTCTTCTTGTGGTGGTTTACTTTCCTTCAGTAAGTAAAATGTATGCTCAATTAAACTGAGGTCAGGTGATTGACTTGGCCATTGCAGAACATTCCACTTTTTGCCTTGAAGTCTTGGGTTGTTTTTGCGGTATGCTTCAGGTTATTGTCCAACTGCGCTGTGAAGCACCATCCAATACGTTTTGAAGCTTGTGGCTGAATCAGAGCAACTAATAGAGCCATATAAACTTCATAATTCATCCTGCTGCTTTTGTCTTCAGTCATTTCAACAAATACAAGGGGACCAGTTCAAGTTGTATGTTGAACGAGTTTTTCTTCACCAGGGAAAGAATTCTTCTGTTATCCAACACAGTTGTTTTCTTGGACGTCCAGGCCTTTTGTTTCTTAGTTCACCAGTGCATTTTTTTTCTGTTTAGGTATGTACCAAATAGTTAATTTGGACACATTTAACATTTATTGCTGTCTATCTGATGGGTTTGTTTTGATTTTGTTTTGAACACTTGCTTCAATGACAGTGAAGCTCTTTGGACTTCATATTGAGAGTTAACAGCAGCAGATTCCAAGTGCAAATAACACACTTGAAATCAGCTCTAGACATTGTATCTGCTTACTTGTAAGTAAAATAAAGAGGGAATAACAGACATCTGATCATGGATCAGCTGAGCAGGCATTTGTCCAATTACTCTTGAGCACCTAAAAATCCAATTTGGATGTAAATGCACACAAATTGAAGCTGAAAGTCCACACTTTGAGCTCTTAGTTATTATTTAATTTCAGCACCAATGTACTGTGGTAGACAGCTAAAATAACAATAATAATTGTCTATATGTACTGAGTGATCCAATACAGTGATGTACACCGATCAGGCATAACATCATGACCACCTCCTTGTTTCTACGCTCATTGTCCATTTTATCAGCTCCACTTACTATATAGGTGCACTTTGTAGTTCTACAATTACAGACTGTAGTCCATCTGTTTCTCTGCATACTTTGTTAGCCCCCTTTTACCCTGTTCTACAGTGGTTAGGACCCCCATGGACCCTCACAGAGCAGGTACTATTTGGGTGGTGGATCATTCTCAGCATTGCAGTAACACTGACGTGGTGGTGGTGTGTTAGTGTGTGTTGTGCTGGTATGAGTGGATCAGACACAGCAGTGCTGCTGGAGTTTTTAAACACTGTGTCCACTCACTGTCCAATCTATTAGACACTCCTACCTTGTCAGTCCACCTTGTAGATGTAAAGTCAGACAATAGCTCATCTGCTGCTGCACAGTTTGTGTTGGTCATCCTCTAGTCCTTCATCAGTGGTCAGAGGATGCTGCCCACAGGACGCTGTTGGCTGGATATTCTCAGTCCAGCCTGAGGTGTTTAAAAACTCCAGCAGCACTGCTGTTTCTGATCCACTCAGACCAGTCCAACACACACTAACACCACCACCACCATATCAGTGTTACTGCAGTGCTGAGAATGATCCAAATAGTACCTGCTCTATATATATATATATATATATATATGTAGAGTAAGTGCAGCTGATAAAATGGACAATGAGCGTAGAAACAAGATGGTCAAATGTTATGCCTGATCGGTGTATGTTTTTAAACAGATTTAAATGATTTGAATGCACTGTAACTTAATGTGCTCAACCAATGAAGTTGCTTTGAATTGGGTTGTGAAATCTGCATTCTTTTAAAATTTTATTTATTTAATTATATTTAATGTTTTCCTGCTCTTCTCTCCTGTTGCAGTGTGCCATGCGGAGTTGAACGCCATTATGAATAAGAACTCTGCAGATGTGAAAGGCTGCTCCATGTACGTGGCTCTCTTCCCCTGTAACGAGTGTGCAAAGCTCATCATCCAGGCAGGTATGAGAACACACCCACAGTGTGCCTTGCAGAGTCTCTGTCATGTACTGCTTACTGTGGTGTTGAAAGTAATTGGGTCACAATGTCTACAACCATAGGTGCCACTTTTGGTTAAGTATTGGGGCAAAAAAGAAAACAACTTTATATTTACGTCTTAAGCTGATGAAAGTTTTTGGGAGGGGCATTAAAGTAAGGAATCATGGGTGAATACATGTAAATTATTAATAATTTTTGTACTGCTGTCGTCTTGTAATATTATGAGCGGGTCAGTGGGAAAATGGAATGTGCTCATAATATTAATTTTATATTGTTAAATGAAAAATTTTGTAATGTGAACACATTTGTTCATGTTGATGTGCGCAGAGTGGCACTAAAGCATGGGATATTTATAGAATTGACAGGAGGAGCTGGTTTTTCTCTGCAAGCCGCACACGTCACGCAGCAAAATGCATTGAAATAAGCCATAAGAATAAATAAAAATGAAACAGAAAAGGGCCAAAACTTTTAAAAATGCTAATTCTCTTAATGACAATTATCAAATGAAATACTAGTTACACATTCTGTGTTGCAAACAGATTTCCTGGCTGTTCCACCAGGCTTGAAATCACCACCCAATCACAAGTCAGAATATTGTTGAGAGTAAACGGATGTACCTGCTCTTTTAAGAAGTTGAAACTGACCCAAAATGTGTCCAAGTAAAAATGTCCAAAACGGGGTTTAAAAAAACACAACCTATTTATTTAAATAATTTCTGCATCTTACAATGTCTGTCATCTCATATCACTTGCAAATGCTCTTATTGTCCTTGTAAAATCAGTCTTTCAGTAAGAGTTTTTAGTTATATTGATCTCTCTGTATTAGATGCATGTTTATTCAAATCCTGAAACAGGATGGTGTTATCACCAAATGTGTTAGTCTTGTTGTCTTAGGGTTGCCAGCTATTCAACAGTAGGATCAATATACATTCATAAAATTATTTTGTTTCCATTTTCAAGCTTTTTGTCAGTGGCCGCAGTTCATTTGGAAAGTTGTCCAACCAGAAAAGCCCACGACTTTATAATTTCAACCCACGGTATTCTTTCAGACTAGCAGAATTTGTCAGGAAAACTGTGAATCTGGCAACCCTGCATGACTGGGAAAGAACCTGTGAGTGAAACACATACATGCAGCAGCCCTCGGGCATCAGGCGGCATAATCATAACCATTTCATATAATTTATATTCATATTTCATATAATAAGATTTTAGGGGCATTGATCACTTCAGATGTCTGGTGGTGATTAATTGTATCTCCACCACTATGAACAATTCTGTCTTCAGAACAGAGCATTTCACATCAGAAGATTCTGAATGACTAACCTGTAAGGGGCCATATTCTACATGTGTCTACATGTTGTTTACAGTCTTAAATGTTCTTGGTTGTGACATCACAACTATGATGAATTCAAAACTGTATGTTTTTGCAGCCAAGTTTCCATTTATGGACTATATGGGCTGAGGATCACATTTTGAAACTTTAACAATATTTACATAGACACCAAACACAATTCAAAAATTTGAACAAGCTTTGTCTTTTTGTGATATACACCCTCTAAAATAATACAAATACCAAACTAAACCTGAAATAAATCAACATAACCAGGATTTTTCTATTGTGTGACTTATTTTTAAATTGCAGTTTTAGTATCAAAATGATTAAGCATACTGTACAATCTGTATTTCTACTACTACTATTAGTAGTGTAAGGGGCTTTATACTGTAGCAGCTTGTCCTAACAGCAAGCGAGATTTCAAACATAGTATCACATCGCAAAGACTTCTGGATGTCTACACTGGAAACATCAAGTCAAAACAGTATGTTGATTGCTACTGTGATAGCATCGCATAGGTTTTCGTGGCCAAGAACCACCTACACTGACAGGAAAGAAAAAAAACAGCTACAGACCACTTTTATCATGACATGTAGTGGTAGATGAATTTCACAAGAAGGCCACAAGAAAAAAGGCTGTTCTGTTACTTTATTAGCTCAACTGAAGGTTATTAGATAAGACCTTTTGGAGGAGTGCAGGACTGAGTGAACACAGGCATCGACTTCAGTAGCATAACTTGCCCAGAAATCATTGAGACATGACTTGTTGCCTTTTTTCAAACGTAAAAATAATGGTATACAAAGCTCTTTGTAGGACAAAGCATTAAAATACTTCAAAAAAAGTTACCTTTTTGTTGACTGAGAATAACAGGGGCTACACCCAAATAGAAGCAGTGCAGCACCAAATGCATGTGTTAGGCTGTTGTAAACATGAAAATATACAGTGATAAACAACACCAGTGATAAAATAGGAGACTGGTTGTATCCATGTTCTCCAAGGGAAAGTGTGATGCAATGAATTTAAATGCATCAGCCACCCTATATATTGGTCAGGCCCTAGGTGTAGGCCATGGTCCACAAAATTAATGTCTTTTGTAATTGCTGTTGGATGTAACTGAGAATCGGAGAAGGGAAGTCTTTTGCCACTCTTCTTTGACCCTGAACATTTGCTGTGCTGCTTTCTGCTGTTTGAATGGCACTGTTAGCAGCTGCTGAGCCTGACATGCATGTATATACATGCACATGTATGACGAGAGAGAGAGAGAGAGATGAAAGAGACAGAGAATTTCCATGGTGAGAGGAGCCCTGCTGTGGGGTGAGCTTAGCAGGGGTCCTGCACACCCACCCTGCCACACACACTCACATACATGCGCACACACACACACAGTCTGTGTCTGTTTTGAGCGTTCTTGCTTTCTTCTCTCCCGCCCTCCCCGCCTTCTGCTGTTATACATGGTGACGTGTTTTCCTCTTCTTCTGTTCTATTGTTATTCTCACTCTGTCTCACTTCTCTCTGTTTTTCCTGCAAAGTCTCTCGCAAACAAACTGTTCTCACTAACTCTGTTCTCTTCACTGGCTTCTGTCCTTTTCTTTTCACTTGTTACTACACTCCAGTATGATGCTCTGTCTGTCTGTATCTGTTTTTCTCATGTTCTCCCTATCTCTTTCTTGTCCTTTCTCTCTTACCCCATCTTTACTTTTTTCACTTTCTTTTATTGCTCCTCTCCCTCTACTTACTGTCTTCTCTTGGATTCTCTTTACCCCCCCCCTTTTTTTCTTTCTGCATCTTGTCTCTCTCCTTTATTCTCCCTTGCTCATTCCCTCTTTCTTTCTGTTTTTTTTCTCTGTCTTTTGTCTCTCTGCCCTCTCTCTCTCCCCCTCTCTTGTGCTCTCACCCTTTGTTTTTCATCTGTCTCTCATTTTTCTCCCTCTTTCTCTTTTCTCTTGGTCTTTGTCTTTTTGTACTATTTCTTTCTTTTGTCATGTGTCTTTTCTCTTGCTCTGTTATATTTTACATTTATCTTTGTCTTTTCTCTTTCTTTTTTCCCCCCATTTTTTCCCAAAAAATCAAGTTGTCTGTGGTTTTGATGCAAAAAAAGTTCAGATTTTAGATTTTCATGTTGTGTATTTGTGTCATAGACACCCCAGTGCTCCCACTACAATCCTTCCTCCTTTAAAACAGTTTGCTCCATCTGTCGGTCTAAGAATAAGTAGAGCTATATAGAACACAGTGAGATAAATTATAGATAATACTATTATTAATTTTATCAGCTGTATCAGGCATAAATATAAAATACTATTATACTATGGCTTGGTTGAATACTTGACGGTTATTATTTACTGAGAGATGTGCATCTATATTTCCCAGTATGCCCAGCTAATCAACAATTTAAATTAAATATTTGATCAGTAGTTGATTTCAATACATTGCTTTCCATTTCTCCTTAGTCCAGAGTTGTAACTTAACCTTGACTCAGACTAAATTATCATTGCATGGCTTTTCCAGCGTTGTTTATCTAGTTATGCACTCAGAATTTTGCCCTATGTTGAATGCTATTATGTGGTGGACATTTTACGGCTTCAAAAGGAGCAGTAATTTTCTAATGCACTCCTAATGGCCCCTCTTGCCACCTGTGAATCTGAGCCTGTGGTCATCTTGGGTTTTAGTTCTCAGTGAATTGCAGGTGTGTACCCTGTTAAAGCACACAAATGGAATTCTTATATCAGTTAATTAGCACCTCAGGGGACTAATAAGACAGCTGCTTTCCTGTTGGCCAGCTCCTCTGAATCATTCCTGTTGTCACAATGGTTCCATTGTATTGGCCAGTCTTCAGTTCTGCTGTTGAACCTGATGCAGTTTCCATTGGGAAGCATTAGTTGTGTGACAATATTGGTGCCATACTGTTACCTCTAATAACTAGTTAACATGACTGAAATCACAATATAAGATGCTATTGAGTACTGAGTAATCTGTAGATTATTAGTGGGAGTTAGTAGGTAGAGATAGTATTCTCTGTGTAAAATGCTGTAGTACCGTAGTAATCTCAGGATAAGATATATTGTACAGTAGACAAATATAGTAATCTCAGGGTATGATGCTGTGGTATAATAGTAGTCTGTGAACTATTGTAGTACATTGTCCCAATTCAGGAACTGCATCCTTCAAAGGATGCGGTCTACGAAGGCGTGTCCTTCGAAGGCTGCTTAGACCCGCGAAGGCTAACCCGAAATGAGACGGTCTGCTCTACGGCGGATTTCCTGTTTGCGTCACAGCACTGCTGTTCCTGCCCTTACTGTTGCATCTCGAAACGCTGCTCCTGTCAAGTTCTTTAAGTTCATTAAAGATGGAGCCAGAAACTTTTTTTTTTTTTTTATTTCTTGTTTATTAGAGCTGGAGGTGCTTCACCACTGGCTACTGATGAGATTGGGTTATTTTTTTAACATGTGTTGTTTGCTGCTTGCCTCAGTTTAAACCCAATACTTATGTATTTAAAAGTGTACTCCTCAGTTGCCGTTCACTCCTCTGCTAATTACGCCATGTTCTCAAATCCTCACCGGCATGCAATGAACCTCGGGATATGTATATCTCTAACACTGTAGCCTGTAGACTATTTTAGTAATCTTAAGGTGCTA